GTGAGCTGTAATGCCACGGCACTCTGCCCAGGGGGACAGCTTGAGGCTCTGTCTCAAAAAAAAAAAAAAAAAATTAAACATGTCTATTGCGTTGTAAAGCATAAAGTCATTAGTACTAAGGGAAAAAAAGCTGTGCCAAGAGGAGAATTCAAGGACCTCACAGGTAACCTTGGCTCCTTTGCAGTAACCCTTGCTCATCCTCATCCTGCCAGGCTCTAACTTGGCTGTCCTTGTCCTCAGGGCGCTTCCAGCCATAGCTCTGAGGGCAAAGGCAAACAGGGCTTGGGGACGTGGGGGAAGACCCCAAGCATGCTTCTCCTGGCCCAGGGAAATGAGGCTCCTGGGTAGATAGGATAGTGAGCTTTAGTTTTAGGTGAGCTGGCCATGGGTCATGGTGGTGGCCGTGGCAGGGCCTTGGGCCCAAGGCTTGGCCTGTGCACACAGGCTAGAGGAGCAGCACAAGGAAGGGCTTGAGAGAGAAACTGAGACATAGTGGTCTGAGAGGTGGGAGAAAAATGGAGAGAGTGGTGTTTCTAAGACTAAAGCAGAAGAGCATTTGAGATGAACTGGTTAGCCAAGCCCAGTGCAGCTGAGCAGTCAAGCCAGAAAAGGCCTGGCAGTGTTGACTGGGTTTAGCAGCAGTGTGGAGGTCACCAATGCCCTGGGTGAGGGCAGCGTCAGGGGAGGGAAAAGAGCAGCAGCCAGGCTATGTGGACCGAACAATGGGAGGAGGGGAGCACCACGTTTCCAGAAGGACTTTTCCCAGGAAAGGCTGAGGTATTACACATGAAGAGGTCAGAAAGAGCCTGTGGACCCTGTGACCACCAAGACAGACACCATGAGGCTATAGAATATCCAGGCCAGCCTGGCCTTTGAGGGCCATCCGAGCTCATGTCCACATCCCCAAATGGAGAGGCGGAGGCCCAGAGTAGAAAAGCCTCTCCAGCGCCTCCCATCCCACAGTGACCAGCAGGATAGGGTTGTCACCCTACCTTCCACCTCCCAGGACTGCGCAGTCCCTCTGCAGGGAAAGGGCCAAGTCCTGGGGCATTGTCCGAGATGGCCATGCCCAACTGTCTAGTCTCACCCCAGCACTCTTGTGTTCTCCTTGCTCCTAAGTACTGCTCTTCTTTCTGTTCCAAACTGCATTCTTTTCTTCAATGACCTTCCAGTTTTTGCAACTTTTGCTGCCTTTTCCCAGGGCACGCTACCCATCCTGTGTTCCCACCTTCCTTTATTTGGTTAGCTTGTCTTCAGCATTTAGGAAACCAGGCTGACTCCACGGTGTTGGCTGGCTCCCAGGTGCCCCCTCAGGCTCACCTTTTCTGTGGCCCTTTTCACTCTGTTAACATTTGTCTGCTTGTCTGCTTCCCCACTGATGCACGAGCTCCTTAAGGTGAGGCCACGTGTGATTTATCTTTTCACCTCCAGTGCCCTTTGATAGACCTGGCACAGGTCCCTTTCAATATCTATGGAATGAAGACTAGACTCTCCTGCTCAGTTCTGAGGCCAGCATGGAATTGAAGACTAGAGATGAGTGGGAGGCAAGGTCATTCCTACAAAGACAGCAGCTCCACTGTCCCTTGCCTAAAACCAGGGTCTGGGGCTGGTGGGGGGGGGGCGCATGGACAGCTCTGCCCACAGGCTACTTTTGCTGCTGGTGGAGAGGGAGGGGTGTGGGCTTCCTTGGGCCGGCTGTAGTGGCTGGCTATCACGCTGGGCCTTGGCGGGCTGAGGTGGGGAGTGATGAAGATCAGGGACTGTTTATCTGGTCTGCTCAGGGCAGTGTGGCCTCCTCATGCCTGCCCACACCCCCTTCCCTGTTTGCAAAAGAACTAACTGTTCCCCAGAAGTCAGCATGCTCCTGGCCCTCTTGCCCTTGTGACCCAAGCTAGTACCACTGGGGACATAGGCTATGGTGCTGGACACAGTGTCCAGCAACAGAGGCTCAGCAATCATTAAAATCACGCAGGGAGACTGGGCGCTGTGGCTCGCGCCTGTAATCCTAGGACTCTGGGAGGGTGAGGTAGGTGGGTTGCTAGAGCTCTGGTGTTCAAGACCAGCATGAGCAAGAGTGAGACCATGTCTCTACTAAAAATAGAAAAACTAGCCAGGTGTTGTGGCCCACACCTATGGTCCCAGCTACTCAGGAGACTGAGGCAAGAGCATTGCTTAAGCCCAAGAGTTTGACATTGCTATGAACTATGACACCATAGCACTCTACCCAGGGTGACAGTGACACACTGACTCAAAATAAACAAATAAATAAATACATAAAACAGGCAGCACCTGTGGCTCAGTGAGTAGGGTGCCTGTCCCATATACAAGAGTAGCAGTTTCGAACCAGGCCCCGACCAAAATTGCAACAACAACAACAACAAAAACTTTAAATAAATAAATAAAATGCCCTAACATGTGGCCTAACTTTAAAAAAAATTAAAAAAAAATACAACACCCAGGGCATCCCCTTCATTGTGTGGAGGAGGCCTAGAGGGGAAGAGGCGGGACCAAAATCACCTAGGACTTGATTCAGGTCTGAGTCCAGAGCTAGTGCTCAGGAAAGAAAGAAGAAATGGCGCTAAGTGGCTGGTATTCTGACAGCAGATAGGTCTGGGCAATAGGGGGAGACAGAGCTCAGCCTGCCCCAGCTATCGGTCAGGACCAGGAGCAATCAGGGTGCCCTCTGCAGAGCTGGCCTGGTTGAGGACAGGACCAATGGACGGTGAGGGTGGTCAATGTGGTATCAGTTCAAGACAGGAGTAGCAGAAGAGGGAGTGAACAGAAAATGGAGCTGGGCTGTGGGATGAGAATCACCTGGGTTTGTGTCCCAGCACTGCTACTTTATTATATCAGCTGTGTGACTTTGGGTCCAATGTGTGTACCAGATTATCTCTGTGCTTCAGTTTCTTCATCTGTTAAATGAAGTTATTAACACTTATCTTTCTTGACTGTCATGGGACTTCAAAATAGCATATGTAAGGTGCTTGTGTGTTATAGAAAGCAGCTATTAACTCTCCTGGAAATGAGATTGGGGTAGGGGCTGATTTGGGAATGGCAGAAGAGAGAGAAAGAGGGAAGAGGAGGATGCAGGAACATAAGTCATTCACAGTACCAGGAATTCCTCTGGCCTACCCCATGCTGAGCAGTGTTGGGGAAAGCAGCAAGGGTCCAGCCTATCCCTGTCCATGGGGGGGCTCACAGGCTGGGAGGAAAAGGGTGTGGGCAATGGATACAAAGTATTACATCCTTAAAGGCAAGTGCTATGCAAGAGAGAGGCCCAGTGTCCATGGAGACCCAGCTCTGGCAGTACAGGCCCCAAGTAAATATTTGCTGGTTTGAAGGAGCCTGTGGAGGTGGCTAGAAAAGGCTTCCTGGTGCCATTTTCTGTCCCAAGCCTCAGCATCTTCTCTCGGTGGCAATGTAACCTGTCCCAGGATGCTGGTCCTCCCCCTGGGGTGCCATCCTCCTACCCAGGCAGCTGGGGTCAGGCAGGGCTGGGCTACTATCATGTTCCTTCTGGCTCCTCCTTTCTCTCTTCCCCTCTCCCCACTGGT